CACAGCTATGGTTTTAGGATTTGTGTGTATGTGTAAGTATACATTCACAGGACATAATCAATAAAATGTTAATTGTACCACAAATGAGGTTACAGGTGATTTTACTTTGTTGGACTTTGGTTATTTTTCTCACCTGGTAATTAATTTCTATTTGTTATTGTGATAAAACACACAGAACATAAAATTGATACTTTTAAGTATATAGTTCTTTGGCACAAGTGCATTTATAAGCTGGGTGCGGTGGCACATGCCTGTAATCCCAGCAGCTCAGGAGGCTGAGGCAGGAGAACCTGGTGTTCAAAGCCAGCCTCAGCAAAAGTGAGGTGCTAAGCAACTCAGTGAGACTCTGTCTCTAAATAAAATACAAAAAAGGGCTGGGGATGGGGCTCAGTGGTTGAGCACCTCTGGGTCAATCCCAGGTACCTCTCCAAAAAGCATGCATTTACATTTATTGTACAGCGATTCCTACCCACTGTTGATCTCCTGAACATTTTCATCCTTCTCCCCACTCTGCACCCACTCCACAGGAGCTCCCCAATAGCTTATGTTGCCTTTCCAGTGAGGGAGAAAAACCTTAGGAAAAATATGTTAGAAAGAAACAAGTAGCAAACATCGTTTTCACACAGAGCTTGCTTCAATTAAGTTTGGATTATAAGTTTTAAAGACTATCAAACAAGCTCATCTGTTTTTCAGTTTCTAATCTTGTGTTTTTTTTTTTAAACCCTACCCTATATAAGTCTACGGTGGTGAAGGGACATGTATTCTTTTGCTGTAATGACGGCACTGCAGGACAAACCATTTGTGTCACCCCAATAAATGGACTCCTCCTACCGCTGTAACCACGGCTGGAGAAATTGGGTGCGAAAGCAGAATCACCTGGAAGTGTGATTAGTGTTAATTTCTTTATGCCAGTTTGTCTGGGCAGTGAGAATTGGGGAGGCATTAAAGTGTCAGGTCTGATAGTAATGGACAGCAGCATTCTGCCTTCTGGATGCAGCTGAGAACACAGGAAGCAGATGCTTTTGTCCCCTCAGTCACAAGGGATGAATTAAGAAGACTCCAAGCTGGTGTGGTGGCCCATGCCTGTCATCCCAGCCATTCAGGAGGCTGAGGCAGGAGGATCAAGGAGTTCCAAGCCAGCCTCAGCAACATAGCGAGGCCCTAAGCAACTCAGTGAGACCCTCTCTCTAAATATAATAGAAAATAGAGCTGGGGATGGGGCTCAGTGGTTAAGCACCCCTGGGTTCAATCCCCGGTACCAAAAAGAAAAGACTCAAAGTGTTCTCTCTGGCAACCGGGTTTCTTCACCAAATGTACAAATTTGCTTTAAAAACAGTGAGGAGAGAAGTGAGGATTGTGAAGATTCCGTGGCAAACTCCGAGTCTCCCTATGTATGATCTCATTTGCTCACTGCCCTTGACAGTTAGGAAAAGGTTTTTAGACCTGTCTCTGGATAATGGGCAATTAATTTGAGATGAGATGCCCCAAAGTACAGGATTCTTAATGGAATGCGAAGGTTGAGGCTCTGCGCGTTCAAATGTCATGGGACGCAGAGTTCATGCTAACTGGCCCCATGGTCAGCCTGCCCTTTTACCCATTAGCAGAGGAGAGGGGTTTGGTGAGATGACCGTAAGCCCTCGCTATCTTGGCTACTTGGAACAGAAGCTCAACTGTAAGCCAAGAGTGCCTTCCAGTCCGGATATCTGATTCATCCTGCTGCCTACCAGGCATGACCCCTAAGGATGTATTGAATATGTTACATGTGGGGAAGGACACACTGTATCCCGAATCCATTTAACTTTGGGCTGAAGCAGGACCCCTGAGTATCACACACATCTCTTCTACTACTCACGCTCAAACCATAAGTGGCATTGTCTTCTCATGCAAAGAACTGTAAACCTGCCAGGTGTGGTGGCACACGCCTGTCATCCCAGTGGCTCAGGAGGCTGAGGCAGGAGGATCTCTAGTTCAAAGCCAGCCTCAGCAACTGAGCGAGGCCCTGAGCAACTCAGTGAGACCCTGTCTCTAAATAAAATATGAAAAGGGCTGGGGATGGGGCTCAGTGGTTAAGCACTCTTGGGTTCAATCCCTGGTACCAGAAATACTCCCCAGTTTTTGCTGGTATTGGAAGCTAAACCACAATATAAGGGGACAGGGTGAGAAGAGAATCTCAGCAGATTGGACAAAAGGAAAGAAAGGAAGGGCCGGGGATAGGGGTAGGAAAGACAGTAGAATACATCGAACAGAATTTTCCTATGCATTCATATGAAATACTCAAGTGAACCCCGACCCTTGCGCCCACCCACAGGAATGGGGTGCTGATTAGAATAAGATAGATTCCCTGCTTGCATAATTCTATCAAAATGGATTCTACTATCATGTATAACCAATAAAAATAAAATAAAAAGTAAATAAATAAATGTTTAAGGAGATGGAAAGGCTAATCACCCTCATTTGATCACCATAATTATCTGTACTTATGTGTCAATGGGAAATAACCCTAAAAATGATGGGAGAAAAAGGACTGTTGTCTCTAAGAGGAATAGAGAACACTAAATTATAGGCCATGGGAATTTTGCTGGGCAACAGAGTTCTTCTACAGGTGCATTATAGTGTTATCATACTCTAATTCTATTTTTATGTATTTTTTAAGTTGTTGATTAACCTTTATTTAAATGTGGTGCTGAGAATCGAACCGAGTGCCTCAGACATGCTAGGCAAGTGCTCTACCACTGAGCCACAACCCCAGCCCCAGGGTTATTCTTTTAAGCAAATTTCAGGGTGCCTTATCCCGTGAGCTAGAATCACCAGGTGGGACTAGTGAACAGTGGTGAGTGACCAGTTGGTTTTCTTTTCTGAATTTCAGCCTCAGCAAGAGCCTGGAATTTATTAAACACAAACTAAATATGTTTTTTGTTTGTTTGCTTTTCGGTACCAGGGATTGAACCCGGGGTGCTTACCCACTGAGCCCCATCCCCAGCCCTTTATATTTTTTATTTAGAGAGAGGGTCTCCCTGAGTTGCTTAGGGCCTTGCTGAGTTGCTGAGGCTGGCTTTGGACTTATGATCCTCCCGCCTCAGCCTCCTCAGCCACTGGGATGACAGGCATGTGCTAGTGCCCAGTACCAGGATAGATTTTATATTTTAAGCATTTTTCCCCCAAAACAGTACAGTTCATGTGGGTTTATTTTTGTTCTTTTCCTAATCACCTTAGCAGTATTTCACTTGATATTATAATAATTTTCCTTTTTCATTAAGTGCTTTCTTTTTGCCACGACCTATACAAATGTGCCATCCCACTAAGCCTCACAAGTCTTGTGACGCAGCTTGCTATGAGAAAAGTGAGGTTCAGAGGTTAAGTCTTGTGCTTGGGCTCACCAACACACAAACAGTGTAGCCAGGATTCAGTGAGGCCTGTGTTAACTGGGGACTTTCACTTCTCTAATGGTCATTGAGAAAGAAGCATCTAGAACAGGGCCTAGCATGCAGTAGTCCTCCTGCCTGCCATTATGTGTTTTTTGTTTTATTGTGTGTGTGTGTGTGTGTGTGTGTGTGTGTGTGTGTATGGTACTGGGGATTGAACCCAGGCCCTTGTGCATGTGAGGCAAACATTCTGCCAACTGAGCTCTATATCCCCAGCCCATATGTGTATTTTTTGAAGTGGGCGTGGTCACGCAGACCAGTCATCCCAGCAACTTTGGAGGCTGAGGCAGGAGGATTGCAAATTTGAGACTAGCCTCAGCAATTGAACAAGACCCTCAGCAACTTAGTGAGATTTGTCACAAAATAAAAAAAAAAAAATTAAAGGATTGGGGATGTATCTCAGTGGTAAAGCACACTTGGGATAAATCCTCAGTACCAACCCCCCAAAAAAACTTATTCTGAAATTATTATAGAGTCACAGGGTGTTGTAAAATACCACAAAACTATTCGGTGTACCCCTTATCAAATATCTCCCATGATAATCTCCAGTGCTCCATAGAATTTATAACCTCATGCTCCTTTGCAGTTACTCTGTCTCAACTCCAGGAACACATGGAACCATTTTTTTTGTTGTTGTTGTTGCAACAAATTGGTTTAACATATTCTGAAAATTTATATGTTCTCTTTCATGTCCGACTTCTTTTGCTTAACATTATATGCTGGGGATTTATCAGTATCATTGTGTGTGTTAGTAGTTCAGGTATCTTTTCTTTTTTCTTTTTGTACGGGGGGTTGAACTCAGGGACTCTTCATTTAGAGACAGGGTCTCACTGAGTTGCCCAGAACCTCATTTTTGCTGAGGCTGGCTTAGAACTGTCAATCCTCCTGCCTCAGCCTCCGGAGCTGCTGGGATGACAGGCATGTGCCACTGCACCGGGCTGTGTTTATTCTTTTAAAAATTCCTTTTTAAAAAAGGGAATCAGACAGTTTGTGGTATTCTACATATTTCCTCCTACTACCAGCACATGAAGATCTAACTTAAGTGGTTATTATACAGATGAGGTGTGCATGGTTCTTTCCAGATTTCTGCCTTCATTTACTTATTTGCTGTTTCAAACCATAGTAAATAATAGTAGAGATGTGAGCCCACTTTCCCAACCTTTCCTTAGGGTAAATTCCTACTAGCTGGATCCCGAGTGGAAGGACATTATGTCGCTTGGGAGTTATTGCCAGATCATCTTCTTGGAGGCTTTTGGCCACTCACTCTCCCTCTGAGCGTGTCTGCATGTAGATGTGGCACAGATTTTAAGCGGAATGCCCCAGACTCAGCTCTTTGATATTTTTGCCTTCATGGAGTTAGTCTGTGCGATGGGCCCCCCAGGTTAGCCTGTCCCCAGCTGTTCTTTCTTTCTGACATTCCCGCCTGTCCCTCCCCTGCAAAGGGAAACCTGTGCACAGGGATGACTGAGAGGGGCAGGCCCTGGCATCCCTGTGGGTGGCTCTGCCCCAGCAGTCCTGGGGGCTCCTTCTCCAGGAAGACTTCTTGTTGACGGCCTCTGTTTTATCCATGTCCTGCAGGAGGGAGGCTCCACAAGGACCTGCGACATTTTCTCAATCAACGGTTCCAGAAAGGGTCCCCGGATCACGAGCTGCAGCAGACCATAAGAGATAACCTCTACCGCCACGCTGTGCCTTGTAAGTCGCCAGGCTTGGCATCTCACCGTGGGAGGGTGGGTGAAAAGTCAGGGGGATGCGTGGCAAGTTCGGCTCCTGAATGACACCGGGAGTTCAAGCAAATCAGCATTGGACAGTGGGACAGCCGGCACAGGGTTATGGTGTGCCTGGACTTGGCCTTGACTCTGACACTTACTAAGTTGCTGTCCTGGGCAAATTGGACCCTTTGGGGGATTTTTTGGTGGTGGTTGTTTTTTTGTTTTTTGGTGCTGGGGATTGAACCCAGGGGTGCTTAACCACTGACCCCATCCCCAGCCCTTTTTATATTTAATTTAGAGACAGGGTCTCACTGAGTCCCTTAGGGCCTGCTAACTTGCTGAGGCTGGCTTTGAACTCGTGATCCTCCTGCCTCAGCCTCCTGAGCTGCTGGGATCACAGGCCTGCGCCACCATGCTGGGCATTATCTAGCTTTTGTAAAGTTCCCTTGTCAACTTGGTGGAGAAGACTTGTGAATAATACTAATTTCATGGGTCTGTTAGGAGTGTTTTACTCAGCGTTTTTGCTGTTGTGACCAAAGGACCAACCAGAAGACGAGGAAAAGTTTATTTGGGGGCTCAGGGTTTCAGAGGTCCCAGTCCATAGACAGCAGGCTCCACTCCTCGGGGCTGGAGGGGAGGCAGGACATCATGGAGGAAGACTGTGGTGGAGGGAAGCAGCTCCATGGTGACCAGGAAGCAGAGAGAGACTCCACTCTCCAGAGACAAATAGAGACCCCAAAGCCACGCCCCCAATGCCCCCTCCTCCAGCCACACCCACCTGCCTCCAGCCACCACCCAGTTAATCGCATCAGGGGTCCATTCACTGGTTGGGTTAAGGCTCTCACAACCCAGTCATGTCTCCTCTGGACCTTCTTGCACTGTCTCACCTGTGAGCTTTTGGGGGGACACCTCACATATAAACCATAACAAGGAGTAAATGGGAGAGACCTGTGAAGCATTTTGTGAGGAGTTGGCATGGCCTCCTTTCTGATAGCCCTTGTTGTTATTAAGCCTGAGGCCTGTAGGCTGACTGGCCTAGAGTGGGTCATCAGTGGGTGCCTGATGGTCTCTTGTTGAAGAGGGGACCTTAATAGCTCACCCATCCTCCCTGGGCGGCTTCTCCATTCAGCCAAATTTACAACTTTGTAAATGAGTATTTTTTTTTTTTTTTTTTAAGAAATGGTTTCCACAAATTAAAAAGCTCAAATTCCAGAAACCATTAGCTAAGACCAAATCTGAGAAGGCAAGATTCAGGCAGAAGAGCTCTGAAGGCCAGACTCTTGTATTAAGGGAAGGCAGGCGGGCCACTGTCTGCCTGCCAGATAGATGATTGACAGCCAGTTGTCATGAGGACACTCCACCACGTCCTTGTACAGGGGAGTTATAACATGAGTCCTGCACAGCCCAGATTTGGACTGAAGTTAAATAACTGCATGTCTGCCCAGGACTTATGCAGTTATTTAATTTCAGTCAAATTTGAGGAGAGAATGATCCTAGTTTATTGCTTGAAATTTTTCTTTCTTGTATCGTTTAGGTCTTTAAAAGGTTGAAGTATCTGTTCTTAGAGATATCATTTTAACTCTCCCTTGAAAATGGAATAAATTTGTGTTTAAGTTATCCTTTTTATTTATTTTTATTTTATTTTTTTGGGGGGGTACTGGGGATTGAACTCAGGAGTGCTCAATCACTGAGCCACATCCCCAGCCCTTTTTTGTATTTTATTTAGAGACAGGGTCTCACTGAGTTGCTTAGGACCTGCTAGGTTGCTGAGGCTGGCTTTGAACTCACCATCCTCCTACCTCAGCCTCCTGAGCCATATAAATGGTTTTCTTAAAACAGTTTTTGCAAGAGTAATATGCAAGAGTACTAATGTTTGCTGATTGTAAAACAATAGATGGAACTAATTTAAGGCTTTCTGTGCATTTGCAAAGACTTAGTAAGTTAAGACTGGGACCTCAGAGATGAGTTTCCAGAACAGCTACCGTTCTTTAAGTCTTCCAGCCTTGGATTTGAAAATTGATCCCAATATTATATTCATGATGATTCCATTTATTGGGATTAATGATGATTCCTAATCATAATTACAAGGGTAGTAATTGTCATTCCATTTTCATGGATTAAGCAACCAAGGCACTAAAGTAAATAAGAAAAAGGCCAGGTGTGGTGGTGGTGGTGTGCACCTGCAATCCCAGGGACTGCGGAGGCTGAGACAAGAGGATTGCAAGTTCAAGGCCAGACTCAGCAATTTAACGAGTCCCTGTCTCAAATTAAAAATAAATAAGTAAACACATAATAAAAAGAACTGGGGATGTGGCTCAGTGGTTAAGTGCCCTTGGGTTCCGTCCCCAGTCCAATAAATAAATAGATACATATCTAAAGAAAGAAAAAAGTTTCTGGGTGACCGGGATTTGAGGTGTCTGGAGTCCAGCATTGGTCTGCCTCTGGCCCACGGCCAAGTTTTACTCTTATAATAACCCTGTGACGGTGGTGACCTTTGGCACCCATTCTACAGGTGAAGCAGTCGTCCCAGGAAAATTCCATGACCAGGAAGTCGCTGGTGTGGGTCTTTTTGGTGGCTTAAGTGATCTTGGGCCGGTCGCCTTGCTGTCCCATGGCTGCTTCAGGTTGAATGCCATTTGCAGCGTTCAGTAATCGCAGACTCATGATTGTTCTCTGTCTAATTTGTCCCCTACTTAGATTCCAATTTAAGAAATGGGGATGAAGCAGATGAGCACACCATTTCTTGATGCATCTGTGGGGTTACCATGGTGACATGTTGGCATGCTTTCCCATTTAGTTTTTATTTTTTTTCCCACTGATTTATTGGACCTGACTTGGAGCTAAACGGCTTGATTTTTTTCTTTTTTAGCTTACCACTATGTAGGAATTGGGGGCTCAAATGACCTCAGTCTTTGGAAAAAACAGTGCAAAAACCTCATGTTGGTCTTGGCTTAGGTAAAAGCCCTCCGTGTGGATGTGGTGTGTGTAGGAAACCAGGGAATCTGGCATTTGGAAAGCGGAAATGGTGTTCCCACCACAAGAGAAAACAAGGACCGATTCGTTTTATGTTTCCTCCATAAAGTGGGGAGGAGATTCAGCGGAGGTCTGTTTCGGGGCTGGTGTGCCTTTTAGCAGGAGTGGGCGAGGGGGGACTGGGGGTTCTGTTCCAGGCGGGGAGTACTCTGGCTACACGTGCTTGTTTAGAGTTTTTGGTGCTTGTGACTAGGAGAGCAGAGCTCAGTCCCAACCTGTTGCCTCACGGAGGAGGAAACCCTGAATTTGGGGGATGGAGCCTCCTGGTTATGTGGTACCTGTGCTGCAGGAGGCCGGTTGCTGACACCCATACATTCCAGAGCTTTCTGCCTCTGACACCCAGTGATTTTTGGTGTTGGAGAAAAGGAAGACCTCATGAGCAGGTGCCTGTTAGTCGTGGTGAGATTTCTTTTCCTCTAAGCCAGGCACAGTGGTGCACGCCTGTCATCCCAGCGGCTCGGGAGGCTGAGGCAGGAGGATCTCGAGTTCAAAGCCAACCTCAGCAACTTAGCAAGGCCTTAAGCAACTCAGTGAGACCCTGTCTCTAAATAAAATGCAAAATAGGGCTGGGGATGGGGCTCAGTGGTTAAGCATTCCTGGGTTGAATCCCTAGTACCAATATATATGGTTTTTTTTCTATATATTTTAGAGGACTTAAGGGCCCCTAGAAGAAATAAAGCTCCTTTATTCATAAATTGTTTTATTTTCATCATGTGCATCCTGACAGACTTCCCCACACAGAATTCAGTTTTATCCTCATTTCTTGACACAGATGAGGCAGGAAACAGTCTTCTTTTGCAGATTCGAAGATGCAGCAACCCAACTTGACTTCCTCCAGTCGCCACTGCTCCCAAATGCCACATTACTCACTTCGCACCCTCTGCTGTTTGTATTTTTTTGATTTCTAACAGCTTTGATGAGATGTGATTCACAGACCATAAAATCCACCCAGTCCAAGTTGCACCCAGCACTGTTTTTGTGGTTTATTATTATCCTCCAATTCCCTTTTATTCTTCCCTTCATTTGAGAACTTTTATTATTTCTACATTATGAAAAAGGTCATCTTGGTAGAAATTTAATTCTAATGACCACTGAAAATCACCACCAATTTTTTTTTTTTTTTAAGAGAAACAAGAAACAGTTGCAGAATGAGTTCAAAGTTCAGGCGTGAAGTCGAAGGGCTGTTCTGCCAGCTCTGTGACCTGGTACAAGTCATGGAACCTCTCCAAGGCTCATGTATTGTTCAGTAAAATGGAAATAGTGGTCTCAACTATTGTCTCTCCATTTACACACTGAATCCCTATGGAGTAGCTCTCATGAAAGGAAACAGGATCAGAGTGGCTACCATCTGGCCTTAGGTCACACAGCAAGTAGCAGAGTTAGGGTTTGATTGGGTCTCCCAAGTTGGGTGTAGTTAACTATACCTGATTAGAGTCATATAGAAATAGATCACAGAGAGTGAAAATCTGCTGACCTTAGGGTCTTGGTTGTGTAAAAGGATGGGTATTTATGTCTTAGGGGTGGAGTAGTGTCATTCATCAGACCTCAAAAATAACTTTTGTCCTCAGATTTTTAAGTAGTTTATGGACACACACACACACAATAGAATTTTAAGAATGGTCATGCAGATTTTTAAAAATCTTTACATAATTTTCTTAGGACATTTAGATGGATCTCATTTTCCGTTAGGTCTTTGTATGTGGATGGAAAGCCACCTCTAAACCAAGGGATCTGAAATGCATGTGCGCATGCTAACTTCTCTGCTTCCTCAGAATCATCTGGTTACTGCCACTCCATTCACGTTCCCCGTCCTGCCTACTCAGGACTCAGGATGTGCAGCCCACTGCCTGTCTCCTTATAACAGGCAGCGCGCACCTGTCATCCCAGCAGCTGGGGAGGCTGAGGCAGGAGGATCGCTTCAGCAACTTAGCGAGGCCCTAAGCCACTCAG